GTCCGCTACTGTGGAGTTGAAACGGCGTGCTGATAGTGGAGAAACCAATCTTCACATTGCAAATGTTCAGGTAGTTCCCTGGGTCCGCCAAACCCGGATCAACAGATCGATGATGATACCTGCCCGTCCGTCGGTTCCTACCGCGGCCTGCGCGTAACCTTCACAAATGTTTGTAGTTTCATGAAAAAACGTGACATTGTATATCACTTCGTTGCCTCTCGTCGTCTGGACGTACTAGGACTGGCAGAAACCTGGTTAGATTCTGAAGTTACTATCCAGGAAGTCCAGAATAGTGGCACCTCTTGCTTCCGGTGCGACAGACGATCAAAAGATGGAGGCAGTGTACAGTTATACATTCGGTCCTTGCTGAGCGGGAGACTGGTACACATCTACCGCCGGGAAGATGGTCTGTGCGAACAGTTATGGCGCTCAATCCGCCTGAGACAGGGTGAACTGTTTGAGGGTGACTTATCGTAGCCAGCGAAGTCGATGCGTGAATTGGTCGCTGCACATCAGAAACTACGAGTCAGACTCGCTTTCTGCTCGTAAGCGATTTTAACTTACCTCGAATACGGTGATCTAAGGTTCAACTTCTCTCCGGGCACTGTGAAATCGAGACGTAGTTTGCGGAGATGATATTTGAAACTGGAGCAGCACAGCATGTCTGCCAACCGACACGCGGTACACCGCATTCCGCTGCATGGTGCCTGGACCCATTACTAACGAGTTGCGAGCAACGTGTATATGAAATTCAAGTCCTGCAGCCTCTGGCAACTTGTGACTACTCGAAGGTGTTAGTAAGTTTTGAGCTGTCACTGCCCTACTCGCGTCCGCCGGAGCCGTCCTACAAGTATTGGATGACCGACTTCGATGGTCTCAATCGAGCCGCCGGTGAAGTGGACTGGTCGCTGCCGCAGAATTCATCTGTTGAAGCCCGTTGGTCTGTTATAAAAAGGTGTGCAATCGTTGTGCGCTCGTTTCGACGCCTCAAATATAGGAAAGCTGGACCAGTGAAGTCACATTGGTTCGACAGAGAGCATGGCCAATTGGCTTGACGGCGACGCGTTTCGTGCAATAAATTCCTCGTGTCTGGCTCTGCCGACGATTAGAAGGCGTACAAAAAGCAGCGGAATCTACGCAACAGCGCAAACGCGTAGGCAGTTCGCAGAAGAGCTTGCAACCTCAGCGAAGACGTCCCCCAGGAGGATTTTGTTTATGTGAAGCGGCGTCTGAGGCCCGCAAGTGATGTAGCTGTGTTAGAGGGCATTGACGGACAGCACAGAATGTGCGTTTGCATTGGCAGTGCACTACGTTTCCGTATTCACAAATGGGCATGCCCCTATGCTGAGCTCGATGTGTGCATCTCCTAGTGAACTCGAGGGCCTGGATTGCGGTGATGTTCGCAGTCTACTCGCCAGTCTTGAGGGCAAGAAACATGCATGACCCGCAGCACTCCACCCGCCAATTTTAGTCTTTAAAAATAAAGAAATAGTGTATTCTCGAATTTATCTAGGCACACCGAACAAGGCATGATCAAAATACCGGAAATCATCTCGGCTGCAGTGACGGATCTGTTCAACAGATCGCTGTCCGAGGGTGAATTGCGGAGCGACGAGAAATGCTCGGTAGTGAAGCCGATTCCAAAAGGCAGTGATACAAGCAATGTGGATAATTACCGGTCGATTTGTCTCACCTCTATTTTGGCGAAGGTGCTCGAGAAGATTTCGGAAAATAGTCTTCTCTAGTTTCTGGAGTCGAAAGATCTCTTAACGCCGGCACAGCACGGCTTCGTGTAGGGCCGCTCGTGCATCACCAACATGCTGTTGACACGGCCAGAATGGTTGCAAGCGTTGAACCGAGGGAAGTCAGTGGATGTTTTCCACACTGATTTCAGTAAAGCCTCCGTCCTGCTCCACAAGCTGAGAAGGTGTGGTGTTGGTGGCGCACTGCATCAGTGACCTCCTTATAAGAAGAAGATATCGGGTACAGGTGGATGATCACCAAACAGACTGGTGACCCTCCACTAGCGGTGTACCCCAAGGCACAGTGCGATGGCCCAAATTATTCTTGATCCACATAAATGAAATTCCCCAGCTTCTCCGATCGTCTTGTGCACTATTTCCAGACGACTTGAAGGTTCTGAGGGTTATTGATTTTCTCGACGACTGTGACGTCAGGACCTCGACCACTTATCTCGGTGGTCTGGAGAGACTGACCTACCGGTCGACCCGGTCAAGTTCTCGTTTATGAGCCTGGGGAGGGGTGGTAATGAGTGTGTGCACACTCTGATCGGCCACCCCCTGTATCCCACCAATTCCGTAAAGGATCTAGGCGTACTCGCACGCTGTAATTTGAAGTCTATCGACAACACTGACAGACTGTACGCAAACGGGCTACGCCTAGTTTGGGCATTTGGACGCAGTTTCTGCAATTGGTCTGAAGAAATCGCCACCCGTCTGTTCCCTTCCATAAGACCGGTGCTTGAGTACGGCTCACCCGCCTACCGTCCGATCACAATAGATGAGGTGCAGAGACTGGAACGGGTCCAGCATGTAGCTATCCGGCTCATCCCCAATTTACGGGGTATGTCGTACGAGGACCGATGTAGGAGACTAGGGCTTTATACGCTGTCATATCGTCAGCTCCGCGTTGATCTCATTATGACGCACTGGATACTGCACTTAGGCCAATTCCCTATGTTGAGGTCGCTGCTGCACGTTCATGCATCAAGCAGCACATGAAGACAGTGATAGGAACTAGTGGTACTGGATTTAAAGCGCATCGCTCACCGTCTGTGCTTCGAGCCTCGAGTGGTGAAATATTGGAACAAGTTGCCAGAGACGCTAGTCGAGGCGGAATTGTATTCGGAATTAAAGAGATTGCTTGAGACCCGCTTTGCGGACTACAGGTATAGGGAGCGTATCGCACCCGGATAAGATGCAGTGCAGCTGCAATATGCTGCCCCTGCGCAGGAATCAGCGACGTGATTCCGCGCATGTGGCCGATCCACCAAGGAGGAAGCCACACAGATTTTTGGTCTTCTCGTTCTCTATCCTCAGTATTCAGAGAACGACGTTTGATTACAGTTGTGCAATAGTAATGTGCGTCGTCATGTGTCAGTCGCCCTGGGGGCGCTTAAGCATCGAATGGGTCAGATTCTAATAGAAACCACGTCGTTCGTGTTTTCCAAATTTGTTAGGCGGTTATAGGGACCATTCGGCGCCCTCAAAGCCGTGGAAAGTAAATCAGAATCAGTCATACATATTTCGATAAAAAAAAGTAACAATATATGAGGAATATGGAAATTTGACTACTACACGTCTGATTGTGATGTGTGAGCTTTCTGCAGCCCAACACACGGTCGATAGAGAGATGGCAGATTCAAAAATGAAAAAGATTATTACAACACGCCAAATAAGGACGGTAGCACGAACAGGCGAGGTCAACAAAGTCGAAGGTGATGGTCAAATATACGAAAACGACGATGATATGCCGCATGCATGTATAAAATTGTTCTAATGTGGAAAATCGTGCCTGTGGCCAAGACGGAATTAAGACTGACTTCGACGATTCGACAAAGATCGAGGATCTGTTGGAGAACAGTACACGGGAGTAGACCGGAGACAGACAGGCATCAGCAGTACGTCAATACGCAGTGCTGGCGTTTCGCTGATGCGCGACCACCACCGGTTGCAAGTGGGCTAAGGATACTGCCCGATTCCAACGCAGGCTCGAGCCCGCGCCCCCAAATTACAAGTCAGGCTTGTGATCATTTAAGGGTACGAGCCGGAGAGGTTTCCCAAAACAATACCTGACGATTAACGGATGTACTTTAAGGGTGGGCCACTGATAATAATTGGGTTTGCGACATTTCCACTTAGAGACACAAAAATGGTCAAAGCCAGGCGATTGGTTGCATGTTTCCATTAAGGAGATGTGAAAATTATCGACCTTGCAGTCACTTTGAGTTACTTTTCATTGACAGATAGAATTGATGGGTTGTTCTGCAGTCCTATAAAAGCGCCTTGCGCATTAACGTGTGAATAGTAAGCCGAAGAACGAAGAGTGCTGAGTCAGCCTATCTAGAAGTGTTTTCTCAGATAATATGAACAAGTAAAGAACAGCTATGCCATTCACCGATGTTTGGACTGTGAGCCCATCACCAGGTGGATCTTCCACCCCAATAAAAGCTGAGATAATAAAGGCGATTATGATCATCTCGAGCCAAAAGTTGAGGAGAAGAGGACAACTAAGACGCGCGGGGAACAAAGAGGAGCTTCCACAAATTCGTGTTGAACCTCGGGAATCGCAGTGGATACATGAGAATAGAAACGCGTTTACCCTGCAGACAGAGGCACAAGATGGTAGGATCCACCAAGTGAACGTATCCCCTAAGTCAAACAAACTACCGCGACGAACTGTTGCTAGTCAGGCAAATGACGAGTGTGTGCGCGGTGCAAAGTATAGCGATTGATGACGAAAAAATAAGCATGGACCAGCCCATTTTCCAATCGAATACACCATCCAAAGGAAAGTCGAAAAAACAGTGGTCACACCGGTTACAAAAAAATGAGTTCAGTAAAAAGATACCCAACGGATGAGTATGACAAGCCTTATCATTGCACAAGTCACCAGTTAAGAAGAGAGACCAAAGTGGGAGCCAGGATCGTAGACTATCAGTGATAATTTCAGAGGAAGTTCGTCGCAGTCCCCTCTCAGTTAGTAGGCCCCGACACGTATGGAAAAGTGCCAGATAGCTGTTTCGATCTGTCGCGTTCCGACCCCATGACTTCCGGATGCTAGCAGTTTGTGCCACTAAGCCATGGGTGACGGCGACGGAGCTGCATGACTAACATACTCTGAAATTACACACAAATCCTCACTTACTCATTAATTATCAATGATAATGTTTGCGGATCATATCCTCTAAACATGGTAAAAGTGAATAGCGAACCTAAGACAGTCCAGTAGGTAAGCAACGAACCGAAAATAGTTCAAGTGCCCGGTTGAGTTATGCTTTTACCTAGAATGCAAAGGAGTTCGCTGTGATTGTTCGAGGTTAAAATTAAAGCCCAGCGGTACGATGCAGGTAATGATGAAATAAAGACGGATGTAGTGATAGAGTTATTTGTGTGACGCAGGAGAGGTGAAAGTGGAATTCCATGAATATAGCCAATGGGGGAAGTATGGAATTCAACAAGTGACGATAGACAAAAGGCGTCAAGAGGAAAACCGGAAGTAGGCGGAACGTTTTCTGTAGAACAAGGACTGAAAACCATCGCCTTCACCTCCGAGACGACAATGAATATTATAATGGTCCGGACTGAAAATTCACGGGGGTCGAGTGGGTGAGGCTATTCCCATTCAATGGTAGCAGGAGGCTTGCATGTCAGGTCGTAGAGAACACGGGAAATGCCTGGAACGCTTTGCGCGGCTTTCTGCATTTGCATAACAATCTATAAGGAAAAGATGATGAAGAGCGGAGAGTGATCGAGTTAACAAGACGGATTTCGAAAAGTATAAAAAATGAGTACAGTTTATCAGTTAAGATTTCTCACGGCCCTATTTGTGGGCGAATATAACGTCATGGGACCGGTAAACAAGTGTCATGAACGTGGACAGTATGTCCAATGACGCTTCGAAGTGACCGCAAACACGACACACTGAAGCACAGTGCGGTGGGTTGAATTCAATCACGATAGATAAGACGCAAGAATGCGCCGACCATGACTAAGTTGAAGAGATACCCACCTCAGGACTTTAGCCAAAAATGACAGCCAGACGAGAAACAATTGGATGTGTGGTGAGATTCATGTACATTGTTGGCAGAGTCTAGTATCACAAGTTGAGCACAGATAATGGATGGAAATAACCATCAGCAGAATGCAATTGAATTTATCAAGTGGACAGCAGTGAGCACGCTTACTTCCTCAGGAAGATGAACTCCGGGGATCGCGGCCAATCCTGTCATAAAATCAGATGTAATAAATGGTCGGAGTACTACCGAACGGAGGATCGAGGGCAGAGTGACCATCTGACTCGGATCCCGATCGAAGTGAATTGGTAAGAGCACGACGGGAAGTTGGGCGACCTTGTCCAAGGAATGAGTGTGCCGTAGAACAGCCATGACACGATCATCAACCTCCCGCAGTGTTTCAATTACGGGATCGCGCAAGTAAGTGACGGTCACATCATTGATTGGGTATGCTACCTGGGGCCCAAACACATAGACGACTCTGAATCGAGAGAAGAGAATCAAGCGTAGATACGTAGAGGACAAAGGGTGTGCAGCCGAAATCTGGGATGTGGTACTTTGCTGCTGTGCAGTAAATGCGCGATCACAATGCCGAATCATCAAGCGAACCAAATTATTTGTGCTGAATAAAATATATTGTTTGCGGTATGGCTTAAAATGGGCCATGCTGTTAGTATTAGCGTTCGTTTATAAGGAGAGATAGAATTGCCTATGAATATAGTAACATTCAAAAGCTGTTGTTTTGTTAAACAATGGTTGCACCTAAATAGTTAAGAGATCACTTTACATTCCCTTGTATAGCAAAGCAAAGGGTTAGAAGACAATCGATCTGCCGATGTATTGAAAACACGGACCGAGTAGCATCAGGAGAAACATGAAATGTATCCGCAAGAATGCCGCTAGACAGCGCACCAATTATGCCGAGTTCGGTTCGGAAATAACTCGCTTGTTTACACATGCACATTCCTCATATGGATACAAGGACAAACAACTCATGAGCCGCCCCTGATGAGAAAAAACTTTGGATTCACCCAGAACATAGCTTCAGCATAAGTGCATTCAAGGTAATCAAAACTGAAACGGAGAGTTCACCGAGAAAAACTTACCGGTTTATGCTATGACAAATTCGTGGGATAAGATGGGCCAAAAATGAGAGAGCATCCCAGTCGGGAGCCGAGGAACTGGACAAAGCACAGACATGACTGTATGTTCGACAATCGCCCTAACCGGAAAGGACAAAAAGAAAACTGGTGATAAGTGACAAATATCCACCGAGGACCAAAAATATAATCTCGTATTGCACCAACACAAAGAGAATTCCGGGTAGAGTGGATCTACTGGCACATGCTTCATTAACTAGCAATTATAATAGTAAATAAAAGTGAATGACAGAAGCAGAACCACACGGAGAATTTATCAAGGACAAAAATGGACGCCTAACAAGCATAGACAGTATAAAGACCTAAGTGCATCAGAATGAGAAATACTCGACAAAAAATGCAAGGACACGGAGCGCTAGTGTCGAACAAATCGGGTTTACGAAATACCGGTAAAATTGGATAAAAGTGGATGTAGACAAATAGTCGACATAAGCTTCAAAGTAATAGCAATACCAATACTAGCACTTGAGGAAGCATACCTACAGTTTATTACTGATACCTTAAAGCTTTTACAGCCATAATGACCACATTAATGAGGAATAACAACAGAGAGATAGCGGGATCTCGTGTGAAAACCCAAAGTCCAAGGAAGTTACACGGCGTCAACGCCACAAAGCTCGAAGGCCTGCTACGAAGCGAAGGCTGCACCAGGGAGACAAGTACTGTTTGGTTGTTTTCGCAACGCGCAGGTACCCTTGAGCAACCAAGAGAGTCGATGCGAAATGATGACGAGGTAGCAAGTGTGACTACGGCAGCCTTTGGTCAGCAGCCGCCAGTGTTGCAAAGCCATGCTGCGAGTATGGAAGCTGTGGTCGGCGACCAGTCGAAGAAAGTGGGCAACGTAGTCAACACGAGGGCCAAAGACCCATAAAAATGTATTCGGAGGAGATCTGCTAATACTGAAAGACGAGGGCCTTGGACAACAATCGACATATCTATACGTGTAAAAGGATGATTAGGGAAATATCTTGACGATAGCTGCGGTTAGCGGAAACGAAAGGCGCAAGAACAAAAAGTACTTTGACCAATTACAGATTTACACTTTCGATGGAGTCCTTGAGAAACAAGAAATTCGTATAATGTCCATGCCCTACGGCACCAAGACTTCTCAGTAGTAAAAGAAATCTTAGCATCAACTTGATCGGTTAGTGTCACACCGAAATACCTCATATTTTTGGAACCAGGATTCAACAGATAAGTACTAAACACCCCTCTCAAAAAAACTCCGAAGTCGGTATTTCAATGGCGTCCACAAGTGGTCCGATTGGCACTCAAAGTCCAACTTCTAAGACAGCATTACCCACCACGAGGTTGGAACTTCACGCGGTGCGACGGTTTTGCGTACCTCGTCGACCCATTGAGCAATAATAGATCGCGTCCCCTGGACCCCTGGAGAGCTACCCCTACAAGGTTGGTCAATAATTAGAGGTCGGACAAACTCAGCCTCATGGTTCTCCAAGTTGGAGTTTGAAATTGGATTGGGTCCAATTCTGTAAAACTACAGGGTGTTTTGGAAATCACGCCCGAAACTTGCAACGGACGCACTCGCGTGTTGACGTACTGCGGTACACTGTCCAATGGCGAAGGTTGGTTTGCTGAAAGCGTCAGCACAAGTGGATGGCAAGGGTAGGTTTGGAACGCAGACGCGAGATCTGTGTGTTTACGATCGAGGTGCAGACCAACGGAAACCAAGGCCGGTCGGCTGTGAGAAGTGAATGTTGGCCAAACACCAAAGCCGCAATGGACGTGTCATGCATCGATCGCGGTGCAGACCAACGGAACCGAGGCCGTTCGGCTATGAGAGGTGAATGTTGGTCAAACACCAAGGCCGCAATGGACGTTTCATGCTTCGATCGATTGGTAGACGGCTCTCAGAAAGGTGAAAAAGCTAGTGAAAGGAAGCCTTGTGAAATGGTTAGTGGCCAGCTGTTTTAGCAATGAAGCAGGAGCTTACATCGGTGCCGTCGATATAGCTCCAACGGCAGTCACGTAATGTGCCGGTCGAGCGACCCGTGGTCATTGTGCGGCTGTATGGCGAGTGTGGGTCCAACGCGGCAGAAACCACACGGCGCTACAACACTATGTACTGCATAACGCGTCCCGTTAGCGCTCGGTATGGTGGAAATTTAAAGAAACTGACAGTGTTTGCAAATCAAACAAACCGGACGGCCTCGCACCGTCACGCCTGAGGTATCAGTTTGTGCGGTTGTGCAAGAAGTATGCAGAAAGAGCCATCTCAGCATTCGGCGACTCGCACAACATTGTGATACCACACCATATGATGTGACGTTACGTTGTTGACAAGACGTAAGCGTCTTGACTCTGAATGTTTGCTTAGGGCATTAAGGTTTTCCGTTAAACCTCCCACTCACCCACTTATTATTCTAAGTTCCGTAAATTGTCGTGGTTGTATGGCAGCGAGGCAGCAGTTCTAATAGCTGATGTACTGATGTTGATGATGGAAATGATGGTGATGATGATGACAGCATTATGATCGTGTTGTGTGGATCCTCGAAGTGCAACCCATGCTGCTGACGTAACAATCGAAGATTTGTTGCTTCGGTTCATACGACATGAGGTTTTGTTCAACACAACCCGTAGCAAGTACTGTTGCGAGGATCACGCGCTTGCTTCCGTCAATTTCGGTAGCGAGAACAATACGGTCATAAACAGTGTTGTTTGAAAAGAAACACTGCACTGCTTGCAAAGCAAAAGCATTAACGGAAGAACCGATATCTAAACAAACCAGAGGAGTGGTAACAGCGAACTGAGCAAAACTAAAGAAAAACAACCACGTAAAGCCACGTAAGTAAGCCCCATCATCCGGACCAAAAATTAGCAACGGCATATGAATTGGGACACCGTCGTTTTGTGTGCGCCTTTCGGAGATAGTGCGAAGCAACCCCGAGAGGTTGTAAATTCATAGCGGGTGTAGCCTGTTTGCCGGTTTAACATAGTGTGTAGATGCTGAAAGTGCTAATCCAGAATGGAGCAGAAGAGATGAGGGATGATTAGTGGCCTGGAAAACATGGCAGCCGAGGTTAATAGGGTCCACCAAATGACAAACACGTGACCCTATTGTTCAACCTGCCACAAAGTGAAACCACGACTCGCACACCACCGCCGGAATTGACGAATATCCTGCTCTTCCCGCAGTGGAATAAAGGCCACCATCACTAGTATAACTATCGTGGTTAGTACAAACGTCGTGAATGAAGTACTTGAATATTGACACCAATATCAAATTGTCCTAATTGGGTGGGATATGTATGCCATATCTGCTGCAATAAATGGGCCGAACCGATGGACGGGAACAGACCACTAGGCCTAAATATAGTGAGCATAATAATAATAACAATAATAATAGCAACAATAGTAATAATAATAATGTGTCAGCTCTACGCCGGAACGGTGTTTCGTTGCCGTGTGACCACCACTAGTCGAACGCGGGCTGAGTATACCGCGAGGACGCCCACCCCTACTGGGATTCGAACCCGCGCCACAATATTACGAGACAAGCTCGTTAACTCTAGGCTACGAGCCGACAAATATGGTGGTCACGAAAGAACGCGGGTCAACGGCGTGGAAACTGCTGATCTGCGGCAGAGTTCAAAATTCGAATTAAAGTTGGACCACGAAATTTAGTGCCCATGATTAAAGTTGTGCTTTTGGAATGCGAGGAGATCCGGAGGCAGACGATCGACTAAACGATTCCTGAATAATTTTTGGATGTTTGTGAGAAGTGTAAAGTCGAGGCACATTATTGTGTGTGAATTTTAAACGTGACTTCTACTTTCTACAAACTTTACACTTCTCATAAACATCTAAAAACTAATCTACCATCGCTCATCCGAAGGACAGGTACTTCGCTCATTTGGGAAGTGACGGGTGAGTGAGCAAATCTGCAACACCAGGACAGGTACTGGGAGCTTATTGGCAATACGTCGCGCACCAAGCAGAAGTCATGTGTTAAAATCTGAGCACCTAATCGTCAGCCCTCGATTCCTGAATATTCCATTCAAAGTGATCGGTGTAGTAAATCAGAGCACCGTTGTCGCCCGTGATTGTACGACAGCAGAAAAGTTTCCTGAGATGTGGCGCGTACAAACTTTAAGAATCTGGAGAAGCCGCCTGACAATTCAGCCAGTGAAGTTGGAGTCTTATAAAGCTTAAAAAAGTTCTCAATTAGCAGGCACGGTCCGTAGTATAGCCAAGATGGCAACTCGTTTGGCTACGGTGTACGTGAGTTCATGAATTAATCGATCAAACTACAATGGGACTATTAACCCTAGAATAATCAGTGTTCGGTGTGATAAAGGAGATCAGTTAAAGTACTAGGTTTCAATGGTCCCCACTCGAGTCGGCATGATAACAATAAATAAGAATTCTGAGAACAATGAAGTATAATGAAAAAGTACAAAAATGAAAGCTAATAGATAAGCGAGTAGCGCAAATGTAGACTGAGTCCTAACAGCCGGTTGAATGAAACCGAGCGGAGTGCCAGTGACTGCGCAACAGTACCATGTCCGAAAGACCCTCCGATCACAGATAGGGACAATCCCAGAGCATCCATCCACGAAGAAGGTAAGCATCAACTTAAACAAGCCTCTTGATCAGTTTCTCTAGGCCTTTATGCAACGTCATTGATTGGTCACCTAGCAGTTTCGCACAACTTAGTGCAGCCACGGCGTATAATACGTACCGATGAAGTTGGTCAATGTGAACCCTGGGGAGATGACCTAGCCAAGGTAGGCGGTTGAGCTTAAGCAAACAAACGAGCGAGACACCAGAGAGTTTATTCCCAGAATACCAACTGACAGACCACAGCATTATTCACCCGGTGTTCTTACGAAACGTCAGCAATACTCCGCATGCACTAGTGATCAAACACTGCCGAATGTGTTTAATGCCTTTACTGTGAACTGCACAGGTCCCTGATACATAAAGTAACATCAGTCTTACCACGGCGTCATATAACCTATCTTTCAACGACAGGTTGATTTCCCACGGTCTACATATAAATCAGTCATGGACGCCCAATGAGCGAGATTGCTTGAATTTG